ACTGTATATACATAATGCAAATGTTATGCCTTGCTTCTGTTCAGATCATCTTGCAGAATCCTGGTGATGCAAATTCACTTGATTGCACTTTTCTTGTTTGTGGCTTGATGACACAGGTCACCATGCGCTGGCTCAGTTCCCACACAACTTCCTGTGAGATGTGACAGATGAGAACCACCAAGGCAATTTTATTTTTCACTGACTCACCCAGTCAATTGCAATAGCAAGTTAGACCTGGTGCAAAACATCCTAATTATTCTGTGCAATGTGTGCTTGGGGCTTTGAGCAGTTTGATCTGGGTGTTTTTATTGCTGCCTGCATTCTCTTGTTAATTTGCCAAATTACACCTGAGAAGGAGCCATTGTATTCATATAGAGATTTTAGCGGAAGTAATGATTAAACCAAATTGGCCCCTCCTAAGAAAGAACACTAGATCCCCATTAATTCACTTCTTGGTATTAAGGATGGGGGTGGCACAGTGGTACATTGATCTACACTGCTGCCTCAGACCTCTGGGTCCAGGGTTTGAGTCTCTACATGTCTCTAGGAGATCTCCTCCCAGGCTCTCTGGTCTGCTATCTACTTAAAGCACATTTGAGGGTTTCGTAGAGCAGGCTATTTTGATGTCTCTGACGACACTGATCTGTCCGTTCGATAAACCCCACTGGTGATTCAAACCAAGAGTGTCACAGAGATAGGAAACACACTTCAATGCATAAATCATCCAGATATGAACGAATCGATGTACGTCAGTCAGAATTGTCGTCAGAAAAAGGAAGAAATCGAACTGGTGGCCGTTAATGTGTTACAGAGGACATTGACTTAGAGGAAATCGGTCAACGTTTATGTGTCAACACACATTTGAGAACACCAAGTTTTATATGTTTACAGATAAAGGAACTTGACACCAAACACATTGTGACATTGTGTAAACTTACAACAGCAGGCAATAAGCCGGAAAGAGAAACCCTTTTCACTAGTGCAGGACAACCAGTAAACAGAGGTACACTTATTGATCAGAGAATACCTTTATAATTCATGTGTTTTGCAGACACTTTTAGCCAAGCAGAGGTATATTTCGGGAAAAAGCAGGGCCAGTCAGTCCCTGGAGAAATTGGGGTTAAGGGCCTTCCTCAGGGGCAACAGGCCCTGAGATTTGAACCAGCACCCTTCTGATCACAGGCACAGAGATGAAAACCCACTGAGCCACAGGCTGCCTTTGAAACTGGCCTTTAAGGTGATTCCTAACACCTGCCATATTCTTAACAGACCTGCCCATTGTTAACTATTCAGCACTTAAAAGTTAACTGAAGGGGTGCTTGTTCCATTGATTCATCATAAGAGCCTGGAGCCTGTCACAGGCAGCCTGGGAACAAGCATAGTAAAACACTTATGGGTGTGGGTGAGATGTTACTTCACCTGTCAGTAAACTGGGGGAAGAAAGTAGAGAACCGGGGGGAAACCTTCATAACACAGGGGGAACAAACACACTCCACAAAAGACTGGAATGGAACCCCCAGTGCCTGAAAGTGCGGGTCCATAGTGGTACCCACTGAGCCACTGTGACTCCCAAAGGAAGCTCATTCTATGAAAAAAATGCTTTATTGCAAGGCCTTGCAGAGACTTTTCGAGGAGCAGGTGCTTGACCGGGGGCGGTTTTCCCCTTAGCAAACCAAAAGAAAAGTTTGATTGGGTTCTAGTTCAGCTGTTGTCAAAAAAGGGCTCTCAGGACCTCAAAAGGAAGAGACACTTTCAATCATTCGGGCAAAACAGGACCCTCAGCTCTGCATGTCCCTGCCTCTTGGTATCAGATAAAGGCCTGAATCATGCAAATTATTATTTTTAACTGGTGCTCACTGATAATGTACATACTCACTATAAATAATGCATGATAACTTTTATCATGCTGAATAAGAATCCACAATCTCTACTGGTTATTTGTTACAAACCGGAAGTTCTAGAAGAGGTCTAGAACTGGGTTGTTCTTTACCAATTAAGGCAAGAATCTCTGACCAAGGGTGCATGGCAGTATTTGCCTGAATTGCACTGCAGCCAGGATTTCCCCTCGTGTGGCCGAGAGGCAAGGCGTACGTATTTCTCTGACATCAGGCAGTGGGCTTGTACAGACAAGGAGCTGGAGGCACTCGATGCAACTCGCTTTTTAATCCTCAAATGAAGGCTGAGCAGTACAGGGAGTATAGCCTGCCACTGTGGGGGCAGCCCACCCTTAACACAGGTAGCCGCTTGTCTATGTGGTTACATGTCTTATCAGCCAACCTCATCCACCGGCAGCCATCTTGGACCAGGATGTTTATAAAACTGTAGCTGTTTTTGGTTAAAAATACAGAATCGTAGGAGAGAAAGACGATGCTATGGCGCTGATTTTCTTGAAAAATCTCATGCCTGCCTTAACATGTCTAATGTGAACTCTTTAATGAGTAATTTAACAGACTTTAAGCTTTTTTTTAAAGGTTCCTGATAGAAATGTAAGAGGCAATAGTCAGTTTGAGGTACTTTAAACTGTTAATTAATGCATATTGGTACACAGCAGATTCCAGAATACCCTTTCAGTTATCTTCTTTTAATGAATCTGAGGCTTCTTTAATTCGCCCACATATTCTTACTGTACCAGAGGCTTAACTGGGATTAAGTTAATTGTTCCGGATTTTAACAAAGTTTATTACAACATCTAGTGTCGCAGGAGGAGCTAGATGAGAAACAATTAAAACAACACGCTTCCCCATCCTCCACGAACTATACTGACCACTTACTGTGACATGTGACTTTATGTCTTATGTATCTGCCTCCAATGTACCAGTTTACCACGGCAGCACCATTTATAAAGCATGGGGCGCTCGCTTATGCACTGAATAATTACCATCGCAATTAAAGGAGCAGGATAATACAGAGCATGAAAAACAACGTTTCAAATTCATGGGACCGGCACTGATAATGACTCTTCAAGTTCCTCCAAGTAATTCATGTTGAAGCTCTGCAGGTCAAACCACTTGACATGCTGAATTTGATTCGGAGAGCCGGAGAACGCCTTTCAATCCAAGTGGGCCCTGTTTTGTTTTTTCCTCTCTGCGAATCTTGCCAGTTTTCAACAATTTAACATGTAGCAGCTGTGCAGCTGGTCGCGATTCCCTTAAAGGCCTTCGGCTGTGACCGAGCTGCGTTGTTGTTGGTGACGAGCGGAATGAATGGCATAGGCACTGGAATGAACGGCATAGGCACTGGAATGATCCAGAGGCTCCTCCCTGCACTCTGGCTGATGAGCTAAGGCTCTGAGCATTTGTGGTCCACTCACGGGCTCACTTTCCCTGGCAGCCAGAGGTGTAAAGTTAGTGCTTTGCAAGCTGGGATGCTTTCACACCCAGCACGGGGCGAGGCACGGGCGCTGACCAGTGACATCAGGGTCGCCACAGTAACAGGGGTGGAAATTCAATTGCATTGTCTTCCATTCCATTCCGTACAGGACAAACTTATGACCAGGGTGGGGTATTCATTTGCTCAAACTGGACACAGAAAGTCAGAGAAATCTAAATCAGTCACACGGACATCAAATCATATCAGATCAAATTTATCAAATGCACAACAGTACAGCGCACAGCAGTAGATGCAGGCAATAAAACGAGTTACACTGGAAGCTCCCTGCAGTGCAGTAAGAGTGAGAATAAATACATTTTTTTAATAATATAATAAAATGGGACTAAGTAAGAACAAAAACTGAAATTTCCATAACCTGATTAGCTATTGAGTAGCTTTACTGCCTGCGGGTAGTAAACTGTGTTTCCATCCATCCATTTTCTGTACCCGCTTGTCCTATGCAGAAAAAAACTGTCTGTTTCTAACGTAGAAATTCTATCATGTCATATAAAACAAGAATTTTATTTTGCAGAGTAACTCTGACAGGAGGTTGGTGAGCAGATACCCAGTGCAGGGTCACAGTGACATTTTTCAAGGTAAAAACCAAAACTCCAGGAGGATAAAGAGTGCTGAGGGCAGGAACCCAACCCACAAAGAAGAGACGACCAACGATACAGGATAAAATGCGAATAAGTATAGCTTATTCACCTCTGCACAGCTGTGCATTCTCACCATCGCTAGCAGTGTGTGTCATGGACTCATGTTTGCAGTTACTAAAAATGAATTTTGCTGGTGTGGCTTGTCTTGTTACTGGAACCCGCTTACTTACGTCAAACGCATTGAGGCGACTTGTTCGAATGCACTTCCCTGTTCTGCATTCTCAAAGGAGGAAGAGAGCAATCGGAGGGAGGACATGGTGTCTTAACGAGTTCTTGGGGGAAGGCGTGGGCCTAAGTTGTCTGTGTATGTGGTTGACTTGCTCAGCTGTACGAGGAATTAACTAATTATGAAAGAGATGACAACAACACACTTGTGTCAGATTTTGAGAAACTATCCGTAAAAAGAGCATACAAAAAATAATTTTGCTGGGAAGTGCTTACGGTGATATATGCATTACAGATCAGCAGCAAGACCCCAGCCAATGTAAATATAAATGTAATGTAATGAGACCCAGTGGAAGGGGTCTTTGGAAAAACTAATGTTTTGATCACTTGTGGCTCTTTTCGGTGGCCCCACCAGCCTCCATAAAAATGACCGTTTATAATAAAACGTTTCATAAGGATGACAAATACTCATAATGACATCATGGAAAAATCACGCACATGTGCTGTATCATAACAAAATAAGGAAGAAAAAAAAGTTACGCCCGGCTGTGTTAGGGTGACACCCAGACAGTGTGGTAAGTAATTATCACCATCTAAGTATTGGCGAGTGATGGGGAGTATTGGCGCAGTCACACTGCATGGCTCCAAGTACATTCAAGCAGTGCTTGGGCAGATCGTCTCTGGGAAATACTGGTAGACGATGAGCTTTGTGGGAACTATTGTGTCCATCCCTGCTACTTCACAAGTCCATGTGTCAATCCAGGAAGCCCAACGTGTTTATTTGCAAGTGTAGTGACGACTCAACTGTCATGTTCAATTATTTATTTGCAGGCTTACAGAGGATGAGGGTAATCCTAAGCACGGTACAGCTTTACCCACAGTTCACCAAGCCAATTACTTTGGGTTTTATGCTGGGTTTAGCAAGCAAATCCATACCACGTGAAGTGCCCGCAAAAACGCATACAATGCATGAGTAAGCCAGGACATTCACTGAGTGCTGAGTTTTCCATTTATACCTTGTTAGACATTCTAACCAGAGTGTGTTATAGACCGTAATTCCAACTTCAATAATAATGTGAAAATGTTATCAGTGGTACTGTCAAGATTAGAATGGAGCATGTGAACTTACTGAGTATGTGATGAAACACCTGCCCCATCTCTCGCACAAACGCAGTGATGCGGGGACATACGTCACGGCGCAAATTCACCTTTGTTGGCGGCCCTTCTTTCAGTCTACGTTTCTCATTTTTTTAGACCTGAAGACAGGCAGAACCATGAATTTACATTTTCCGTGATTTCCAACCTACTCCTCAGGGACCCAGAGACGGTCCACGTCTGGCAGGGAGCTGGGAGGAAGCAAAAACATGCACTGTCTGGCAGGGAGCTGGGAGGAAGCAAAAACATGGACCGACTGTGGATCCCAGAGGAGCAGATTGGGAAGCCCTGTACTAACTGGTTATTGCGGTCATGTTCATGGGAAATAAGATTTATTATTTTCAAACCTGAAAGACACACATTTCATTTTCATAGGTCCAATAAACCAGAGAACAATAACAAATGATCATTTTTCAGTAATGAAAAGTTAATTTGTCACATCCAGTAACTGAAAATCAGGCTAACAACTTGCACATTTACAAAGAATGACTAGTAATGGAATTGTGATTTTAATGTAGGATTTATGCCAAGCTTCTGAGATCCGTGCAAAAGTACCGGTCCTAAGCAAGACTGACTGGTCCTGTTCATCAGTAAAGATGATTGTGTTTCTGTTTGCTCCTTCTGTTGCCGTTAGTTTCAGACACCCTGCTGGAAGACTTTTCTGAATGACTGTAAACGAGGGGCAGAGCTCCAGAAAGCTCACCGGAAGCTCAGCAAACAATTTATTTTGGAGCAAGGGGGTAGGCGGGGTGCAGGGGGGGGTTACCTGACTGATGATGCCGTTTTATAGCTAAAGAACTACACAGCTGGAAATTCATATGGGAAACACATGCTAATGATACTTGGGGCCATGAAAAGAGAAAAAGAGAACTAAAATATTGCCTCCATTATGGTTCAGTTTCCTGCTTAAGGACACAGTGCGGGTGGCTCACTAAAGCGCTTTATAAGCCGTTCCTTCTTTTTTGCATACTGTGACTGATGTGCCCTGGCAGCTGGTTGATCATCTTCTGCCCTCTAGTGTGTATTTCAGTGAAGTGCACTTGCACCACCCCATCAACTCAACTTTGAACACAGTTTTGGTTGTTTAGGACAGAGCTGTTCAACTTTTCACCTGAGGGTCCCTGGTTTAAGAAAACAGACCGGAGATGAACCACAAAACCCGTGAACCACAAAACCCCGCCCAGAACAGAATATAAAACACCAATCCCTCCATCCATAAGAAAATTAAATTGAATGGCATTCACCTAACGCGATTTTGCCTAAATCTAAATGCCATCTGTCCAACTTGGCCGTTCCCCTACAGATAAATTCCTGTACATAGAGTATCTTCTTAGAGTATATTATAGAGCAACTGCTGCAGATGGTTTGAATGTTAGGCAAGAAACACACAGACAAACAAGGGGTTTCATTTTGCACCTTTGCATTGAAAAATTATAGTTCAGCAGAAAAAGCATTTTGACGATACTAAAATAATTCAAAATCATTAGTATGTTTCAGGTATACATGTTGCTTTGAGGGTCACTGATTCGTATCAACTTCTTGAGGACATCGGCATTTGGGTTAGCATCAAGCTGTAAAAGAAAAAAGAAAAAGAAAAATGTGAATCTCTCCCCCATAGATTTGAAATCAGATATTAACTTGTTTTTTTAAATACAAACAAATATATATATAAATAAATCTAATCAGATATTAGCTTGTTTTGTTTAATCACTTGCCTTTATAAGCCTGCTCAGATTTAAGAAGGCAGGTTTGTATGTCTCCATGGTGACCGAGTCCGGGGTGATGACATCACTGTAGCTCTGGTAGAGAACTGCAGGGATCTGGTGAACTTGGCAGTGGCTGACCACTAAGGGAACAGTGCAGTGTCAGCGATCGCAGGCCATGATCACTGCAGTTCGTATGACGTGCCGATACCACACACTGACTCCATGTTACCAGAACGTAGCTGGTGCCTGGACCCTGGGCGGAGGGCACAAACTCCAACACCGGGAAGCAATTTCCATCATTTATTTATACACTCCATTTAAATAAACTCTCCAAAATATCTTTTATACAGTCATATCAGTACATCAGTACCTTTCACAATAAGACCAATGGACATTTAATAGTCTCATTTACGAAAGAAAAAAAAATTCACTTGCATGCCTGAAATTAATATCGCTCATTTAGGCAAGAACTTGAATACTGGAATATAGGTGTATTAGACTAAGATACTTATACATAAATTAGTTCTTTCCATAAATACTTGATATGAATTTTCAAGCACACAATTGTCACTAAGAGGCCATGTCTATTACTTGGTCCTGCACATAAGAACCAACAATCTGCCTGCTTGTGTGGTGTTGGATTATTCAGACAAGGACTGATATGACTCAGTAATAAATCCTGTAAAAACCAGTCTTCAGTCCAAAACAGATGGAAAAAATGCAAATAAAACACCTAGAACCCAAAGGTAAGAGGAAGTGAGGACATACCTGCAGCTGCGAGACCTGTGACAATATTTGGCTGCTCCAGCAGGGGGCAGGAAATCTGGCTTCGGTACAGGCCGGTTTTTAGAGCGCGGAGAAACGGCGAGGTACTGGACATGGATTCTGTGGTTTTAAACTCGGCCAGGGAGCAGTCCGACAGCACAGTCACGTTGAGCCCACGCTTCTCGATACATGAGAACACCTACGGCCGAGAAACCAAGTTCATCTGACGGCTTCCAAAATAAAATGGAATCAAGATTTTAGCCATGGCATCACGAACAGATTTGAAGTTACCAAAACATGGAAGGCAAATGAGACTTTACATACGTTTCACGACAGGTTTGGAAAAAACTGGAAGACTGAGAGATCGTTTTTATACCGTCCAGATTTAGGGACAATCTTTGGCTGCACTTTTCTCTCCCCTGTAAGCCTTCACAACTCCAGGGCAAGGAAACAAGCAGGAAAGATTGTCACTGATCCCCGACCCCCCCCTAGGCTACCATCTGCTCAATAAACTCTCTTCAGGGATAGGTTTTCAGAAGCAGAACCAACTAATATCTTAACAGCTCATTTCCCTGGTCTTACCGCTAGAATAAGCCTCCCCAGCGCACAGCTGACCTCACAGAAAAACCATCAAAGATTTATGCAGATACAATATATCATTAATATGATACAACTGCAAGCCCCTCAGCCAAGTTCTCCATCACAAAGATGCTCTGTTACCTCCCCTTGTGTTATACACTGAATGGTCACCCATCTAGGTTGCATTACATACAGTGTGCATATATTTTATTATCTCTCTTTCTTGTTGTGCATATCATGCCTTTGTTCTCTGAATGTGCTGTACAGCAGCACATCCAATCCTGTCTGCATTGTGTATCCAATGTGAAATCTCTATTGTTGTTTGAGTGGCAAACACACCAAAACAAACTCTTATGTGCTGAAAACGACATCAAAATAAAAGCTGATTTTAGGTTCATTGTGATTTTAATTAGCAAACGAACATTATAACCTCTTTATTGTGCATTCTTAAACTGACATAATTTGTTTCTTCCATGTAATCTTACCGTTTACTGACTTATATGCTGACTTTTATGTCACCAGTGATTAAATATCCTCTGACAAGAGTATAAAAGGCTGGTAAATAAATTAAAAACGAGTTCCTGGCCATACTCATTTCTGGCAGCAGAATAAACACAGCGCCACCCATAGACCAAGACAGGAAATTACCCTCATCCATGTCATTTCAACAATTGCACAAGGGGGAAAAATGCAAATCAGCATGCAAAATATTTCAGACTTACACTTTCTGCCCACTGGAATAACTGATCTTCAGCTATGTAACAGGTGCACTGGCATATCAGAACCTAGAAATACAAAATTGAAATAGAGATGAACAAGCAGTCTTTATGCCTACTGTTAAACAAAATTAAATACTAGTTATATTACTCGGTACTTAAAGAAAAAACAAGAATATACATGCATTAGGGGTGGGCGATACGAACTTAAAATTTTATCACAATATCTTGTGGTATTTGTGATAACGATCTAAATGAAGATAAAAATATTACAATTCAACACTGTATTTTTGGAGTGACAGCATGTCTTTAGCCAAGCAAAATGCCACTGCTTCCATCAATTCCTTCCATCATTTACTTTGCTTATCATAAGGAATGCAATGAGAAAATGTGTGGGCAATTCTCGTCTCCTCCCTCATCTTCTGGCTTTCCTCATATTTTGGTTTGTTTGAGGTGGTGGAACAAACTGGATGTGTTACCATCCTTTGTAAGCAGCGTTTTTTTCTTTTGCAAACTTTGCATATTACAGTCGTTTGCTCCACGTCAAATTTTCTGTAACCACACCAGCTCCAGATGGTTGAAGTAGCTCCTTTTTTTTAGCAATGAACTTCTTGGCTTCTCCTCCGCCTTCCACCATGCTTGTTACAGTGGGCCGGGCTGTGATCGCGTCGCACACACATATATACGTCAATTAGAATTTATCGTTGTTGAGACACATTATCGTTTACGACTACTCTTACACACTGTAGCCTAAATCGTTCCTTGCTCAATGGAGTAAGCTTAACTATAAGCTACCTTTGCTAGTTTTTGTTAAAAACAAGCTTCTCTAGTTGTGAAATCATTCCATGTTTTAGCATCTATTTCAACATGAAAATCAAATTGGTGTGCTGAAATAAAGCAAAAACTATTGCGGTGATTAACTTCAGTCTAACATAGAAATCCTATTCAATCTCTTAAGATTTGCCTTTTTTGTTAATAATGCTCTAATGTTTAAGAAATGTTTAATACATTGAAATGTTAATGAGAATTTCAAATAAATTGATCAGATCAATCAAAGAATTTGTTCTTAGATTAGTCAAATAATCGAAATAAATAAATAATCAAAAATAATAATGCTAGATTAATCGTTTAAATAATAATAGTTTGGGACAGCACTAGTCTGAACTGAGTATCTCCTTTGTGGCCACGTATGTTTGTTCATTACCAGGTAAACCTTGGACCCAACAAAAATAAACACAAAAATTCTGTCAAGAAAAACAAGACTGGTCAAAATCTTTATAACCACTGGGGGATCCTTTTTCAATGCTGCAAGGGCTTGTACGCAGGATTTTGAATCAGTAACAATTAAAGAGTCTTTCTGTTGCTTACTCTCTGTACATTAAAGTGGCAATAGAAGGGCATAGGCTTCAGCCGTAAAAAAATAACTTTCCCCTGGCATACGAACACCAATAGGCAGGTGTTGAAACTACTGCGGCAGAGACACAGCTGTCAGTTTCAACACATGTATTAATAACTTTTATATGAAAATCACTACCGGTGATTTGTTAATCGAAAGAGGTCCAAGTGACACACACGGACATGGTTGTACGTAGGAGAGTTTTTCCCTTTGGATGACCTACTGAAGGTGAATCTTTCTGCCTGTAGAAGACACAGCTGGACTCGCTCTGCAGCATCGCACCCGAACCCGGGTTCCTCTCATTCCAGATGGACACCGAGCCCACGGGGGACCAAATCTCCGAGCTCAGGACATACGCGGAGAGGAAGCCTGGCAGGCAAACGAAGGTGGACATTTATTTATCCGCTTGTTTAAACGGACAATTACATTAAATTTATGCTGGTACTATGTTACTGGAATAATGAATTGCCTGGTTACCTGCAGCATTTGGGCCCACAGCCACAACTAAATCGGAACAATGTAATCCTTTTTCTGCGGAAGTCGCCAGCTCGTTTTTCACCTCCGAACACCACTCAACGTGGACCTTCCTATTTGGGATGACAAAACACAAATGAATGGAAATCTCATTCGGCATTAAGCAAGTATATAAAAAGCCGCCTTCATCTACCCAAAAGCAGAATCAGAATGAACATATTACGAAATTATTCGATTATTATGATCAATGAAATACTGCAGATCATAGGAAACAAGGTTCTTTTAAAATCAGGCTTAGAAAAAGACGTCTTATTCGGAGGACCCGAAAGTGAAAGTAAGGGGCCATGCACGCTATTAACAACATGATGCAGCAAAACACATTTAAAATATTTAGAGGTGGTAAAGCTGCACTGCGATTCACCGGGAGACTACAATGAATCTTGCATTTTTGTCAAGCATCAGCAGGAAACTGGATTAAAACACTTTATTGTAATGCGATCATTTCTTCCCGTGTAACCAGACTTGTCTAGCTAGGTAGCTAGTTAGCAATCCTATGTATGGGTATGTTCTTAATAATCGGCAGTACCGCTTGGTATAAACTGCACCGAAACACACATCTAGCTAGCTAAACACGCTTATGTTTTATTTTCTGGTTACCAAATAACAAAGACGAAAACTGCTGATGACTCCCCTATGATACACCCGCGGTAAAGCCAGCAAACCGGCCAGCCAAACCTTTTCTCCTCTATTTCACTCCGAATTTGCTGATCCTCTTCGTTTTCATGGTCATCCTCCTCATCCTCCTCTACGGCCCGCGAATAAACGGATAAGACTTCGCCGAAAAAGGTCGCCATCTGCATTCAAAAGCTTTACAGAGTATCAGTGTACTGTGTGATTGCAGCCCATGGAGCGCTCATGCTTACAGGCCGTGCTTTTAGTGGCACCAATCGCACAGCAGAGGGCGCTGCTGGGAAGATGGACACATGAAACACCCTTATTTAAAAAAACGAATGTTTTCCCTCTTCTTTAAAAACTGTATAACTTGCCAAACTAATTGTGTAGCAAATATTTAACAGTGTGCGTCTTATAAAGCAGTCCAATCGGAAAATCGGGTGAAATGTGCATAACAAAACACTAAATTAGAATAACAATATATTAAATATGGAATAATACTTTCAAACATACACGAGCACCACTGTGTTTTGTTCATGTTGTTTATGGATTTGATGTCCTCAGCAGAAATATAACATTCTTTGAAATGTACGTAACAAGTTATACCGATCAGTTTCGCAGTAAATTTTTTTCACGTCTAACGAAATAACAACCGCAACGTTGTGTCACATATTTAGGACGAAAATAGAAGAAACGAAGCTCCCGAACTTCATCTCTCTAATAATGGTGAAAGTTGAGTAACTTATTTCAAATATTATAAACGATCTTGGTTTTAAAATCCTGTATCGATATACATAACCTTTTAGAAGGGCGTTGTGATTTACAGTGGCTCGTTGGTCTAGGGGTATGATTCTCGCTTCGGGTGCGAGAGGTCCCGGGTTCAAATCCCGGACGAGCCCATTTTTTTATTCGTTGGTTGCTTCATTTTGTTGCTATGCGAACAGGGCTATTCGATGCAATTTGATGTTCTTTAGCGCTGCAAGGTTTAGAATGGAAAGGTGTTTTTTCGTAAGTAACAAAAGAACTAGGGCTCGTCCGGGATTTGAACCCGGGACCTCTCGCACCCTAAGCGAGAATCATACCCCTAGACCAACGAGCCATATACACTGATCCTTTTTTCTACAAGCCTCTTTCTGAAATTGTAGTTTTGCTTTTGAACAGTATGCCAATATTTTTCTGAATTATCCAAATCGTAATTTGTATTATTTCATTTACGAGTGGCACAGACACTACAATGATTACCACCTGGAATGTTCCATTTGTAACTGACAATGGCAAGAAGGGAACATGAAACGCATGCGAAACGAACTTCGGTTGACGGAAAGGCGTCGCCACGTATGGCTTTGAACGGCATCCGCTTCACAAACCAATAGAAACGTTTGTTCGCCGAGGCGGGCCTTCTTTTCGAAGTCGGATGCAGGAAGAGACCAGGGATGCTAGCTAGGTAGCTAGCGTGCTAACCGGAGCGATAACGGAAACAACAGATTTCCCCCAAGTCGAAGAATGATGAGTTTGAAACGGCGCCTATTAATATACGACATTGTATTTTATGTATTACCATTATATTTCCTAATTGGTAAGTGAGCACTTTTTGTGTAGTTTTTGATAGTTCGATACCTAGCTAGCTATTAGCAATCCATGAATACGGATTCAAACATTTCAATAATTATGTCATAAGTTTACTTCTGTGATGCTAGTTAGCTCTACCAGAAGGGCTCATAATTGTATAACAAAAGATAAAGTTAATTTACTCTTGTTGCTGACTGCTGCGTGTATTTGATTGGCTGCTTTGTTGTTCTTGTGAACATTTTTGATTTTATTGAAGACCTTCGTTAGGCGTATATATCCAGCTGGACCCGTCCGTGTTTGATTTAACGCTGTGGGTTAGCTGCCACCCTGGGGGCACATCTGGCTTTAGTAACTGGTATTTTTGGGTTGTATTCATAGAGCTAGAGACCTGGATCCGGTCGCGGTTGTAATCTGACTGATTCTCAGCCCCGGCGCATCATTGTTTGCTGGCCACCGAAGGGCGTGAATCCCCCCCCCCCGAGTTTCGGCTATTTCCCAATAACATTTTAACGAAACGGTGCAATACTTATCCATGTTGCGGTAAAAGACCGGGTATATGCAAATACACCGCCGCCTAATCACTAAATTAATTATGGTAAAATCTGTTATTTTTTTTTTTGCAAATGGGTAAAAAAAGATGTCTGGCTGAATTGATACAACTTAGTTTTCTTCCCCTATGATATCAGACCTGTTTGCTGTAATGGCTGGGTTGTCATGAAATTAAGTCTTTAAAATCTTATCTCGCATAAATGGATGTGCCTTCAGATGGAGAGATGTGCCGAACAAGTTATTTCAAGAGTGGTGCAGATTTCATTTAAATTAGTTTACTAATGATAAGATTTATTCTATAAAAGGTTTGATGAGCTTTTTGCCTAAACTCGTGATTATAGTAATGTGTTGGATTAAGACAACTAGGGGTTTTTCTGGGGTTAAACTTCGGTTAATTGGTACCTAAATTGACCGAGTGTGTGGTGCGTGTTCTGTCTAGACTGGCATCCTGTCCAGCATGTACCCCATTCTATGCTGCCTGGGATGGGCTTTAGTGAAGGGCTTTGGCAGCACCATCTTGCGTAGCAGAAGATAGCCTGTGTCTTGCATGTTAAAATAGATTTGTCTGTCTTGTATTCTTTCTTAGTCTTGAGTTTGCTTCATTGCATAATCAAGCAGTTAATTGGTGCCAATAGAGCACAGCACAGTTGCTTAGCTGATTACTTAAAACGTGGTTTAAGGTTTGCTTGAGAAATGTAGCTAAATTGAATGATACGTTTATCATATTCTGTAAAGAGCTGTGAAATGAAATGCGCGACTTCCCTAAACGGCTTGCATTCCTACAGCTGGATAATGTACTGAGACAAATTAGGCTAAGTGCCTTACTTATGAGTACCTACAGCAGGGACCTCGAATCCAAATCCAGGCCTTGTTTTCAATTCTCCCAGGTAGTTGGTTTAATAATTACTGATTCTGATTGGCCACAGAGGCTTCATACCCAGCTCACAGGTAAAGGAAGGCTGGAAAATCAGCAAGGCTCGGACCTTGAGGACCGTGATTTTAATAGCCCTGATCTAGGTCACAAAAGCTGTGACAATAGTGATGAGAGGGATAGCTTTAGGGTTGGAGTCCTGTGTCCTGCCAATCATTTTAAGCTAGTAAGTTCCAGTTAAGTAACCAAGAGGAGATGAGTTAACCCAGGTAGTGACTGACTTTGCAGTGAAGTCTTATACTCACCTGCTTACCTTTATTTTATAAATTCACAGGAGCACTTCCATCCACTGCAATTGATGTGTACACGCCACGGGAGGTGTTTGTGGAGAATGGTACGACGGAAATTCTCCACTGCTCTTTCAAGTCGAACCAAGTCATCAGCAGCGCGGCTTCTGTGTCTTGGTCATTTCAACCTGACGGATCAAACACCCCCGCCATAACTGTAAGGGATTTGGTTCTTTGAATGACAGTTTCATGTAATGTTGTTCAGTGCTTAACCTGTGATTGTGTTTTCTGTGCAGTGAGTGATAGCAAAATGAAACAGAGGAACTAATTTCTAGTGCTTGTGTGCTCAGTGTCAAATAGTAAATATAAACCCATGCTGCCATTTCCCTCTTTTGCATCTGTTTGTGGTTGTGAACTGTTTTCTCCATTTCACTGAAGGGCTTCACCTAATGGGTTATTTTGAACACAATGGTCTAACTTGTGAGAGATACAGTGACTGACAACATAGTTGAGGTGGCTTGTATATTTTTGAAGCTAGCTGGAAGTCTGCAGTTTCTCTGTTCATTCTTAGTAAATTATTGTATTATTGTTACTTTCAATAGGAGTATCTGCAGGTAAATTACCGACTATAATCAAGTCTGCACCAGAAGGTTCCCGTTAGCTTATGCTGTTATGTCTTTTAAAGGTAAAGGATATATTGAGTTTCTGACAGCTGAGTTTTTAGTGAACTCCTTTTTTTTTTATCTTTTTCCTCTTGTCTGTCCAAACGACGCGTGTTTCCTTTTTTTCTTGCCCAGTGTTCCTTTGCTAAAACAAAGCTTACATTTCCTCACTTCAGATGAATAATGATATGTTTATGTTCTTATCCCATTTCAAATAGATATTTTACTTTTCGGGTGGAAGGCCTTATCCAGGAGACATTGCCCAGTTCAAGGAGAGGGTACTTTGGGCCGGAGACCTGAATAAGAAAGATGCCTCGATAAAACTGGTGAAAGCACAGTTCATTGACAATGGCACCTACACCTGTGATGTGAAGAATCCTCCTGACGTTGGAGTGATCCCATCAAGCATGCAGTTAAGGGTTGTTATGAAAGGTAAGCTCAGCATTGTCTTGGCTACATCTCTCAAGACTGAAGATGCCCATTAAATGTGCATTTAATAAGAATGAGATCATTGTTGACACACCGCAGCAGACATTGCACAACAATGAAACGTGTCCTCTGCATACCTAACCTATATGTGACATCGTGATATAGCAGGGGGCAGCTGTTTCAGTGCCCGGGGAGCAGTGCTTGGGGGCGGTACCTTGCTCAGGGTACCTCTGTGGTGCTTTGCTGGTCGGGCATTCGAACCAGCAATATTTCAATTACAAGTGCGCTTCCCTTACCATTAAGCCAGTACTGCCCACTAATATTGGTTCAGTTTGCTGTGACATTAGTGCAAAGCAGAATTAATATAAGTAAAGGTTAAACCAAGTTAAGTTGGAGATGTAGTAGGCTAAAAACAAATAGAAGATAAAATATATCTAGTCAAATCAAAGTTTATCAACTGCACAGCAGTGAGTTTTGCTGCAAACTCCTTATAGTAAAGCAATAGAAATATGTAAAGAAAGTAAGTATAATAGTAGGGTTGGGAATTGAATGGGAAAATTTGACTCTTCGATCACACAGTTTTCTTTGATTATATGTTTTAATATTAATCACAATTATACGCGGAATCCCCAAAATAAATGTAGAATTAACACAAAGGGGAGTGCATGGGTCATTGTCACAAACTCATCACCATGACACTTTCATTTTCTCATTTTTAAAATTAGTTTGAAAACAGACTCAAATTAACTTTTTCAAAACAATGGCATTATACCACATGTACAGTGGTACCTCAGTTCTCGAACTCATTAGAACTTGAATTTCTTAAAAGTTGAACCAACCAGTTCGAAAATTTTTTAGCTTGAACTCTATCTGAATCTCAGAAGACAAAATGTGAACGCCGACCTAGGACAGCTTGTACGCACAGGGAAATGAGTCACGCGGCATGTCTCTCAGCGGAAACAAAGGGTAACGCTTCAGTCTCAGCCTCGCATTCGCTGTGATTGCATCGTGCATGTTTAGACTAGCTAAATACATATATTTAGACAGTAAAATACATTTAGACAATGATGGACTGTAACTAATTTATATAATAAAATACATTTAAAAAGAAAGATTTCTTATTAATTAATTTAATATTAATAATAAACCATTAATACATTTTAATGATAATATTGTCGTGCCGAGCGGTGACGGAACGGAGACAAAGGCGCAGACGTCAGGGTATCGGGGAATACGGGGTTTAATTACAGGTAAGGCAGGCAAAACGCAGACGGACAATACAATGACCGGACTGGGGAAACAAACTGAAACGCCGACTAAATACAGAGGGCTAATGACAACAACCAGAAACAGCTGATCACACGGGGATTCCACACGGGGTTAACGAGGGGGCGTGGCACACGGAAGGCGCAACCGATCGGGGCAGGACACATTGTTTGGATACATTTATTTTCTTACTTTACAAATTACTGTTTTGATAAATGTGCTTAGATTTAGTACAGTATATGCTCTCCTTGTTTTATCCGGTTCATTTTGTGTTTAAATGCTAAAACAAAAACATATTTAGGTGTAATTTTTTGGGGCCGGGAAGCAATTAATTGGTTTTCCATTATTTCTTATGGGGAAAATTCGATCGCAACTCGAACTGTTTAAGATTCGATCCGCAGTTCTGAACGGATTAAACTTGTAGTTATAAAGTAGTCGCAGTAGGCCATACGTGATATGTTATACGGTAGAACAAATGTACAAGTAGTTCTTGCGTTAATCATATTAATCAAATGTTAACCATGTATTTACTGTGATTCAATGTCAGTGTAATCAATATCTCTATTCATATCTCAAGTAGGAGTCTAGCAGTCAAGACATGTTTTGGTAAATTAACCAAAATGGGTGTATTTTACCTTGCTACCAAGGTGAACCAATAGAGCAGGATAATTGTGTTTGTTATACGTTTGAGCATGGTTTGTTGGTGTTTTGTGACCAACCAGAACTTAGAAAACCTTATCTGGAATTGAGAGTTATGGTTTATCAACTGGTTGCTCTCGGTGCTGGGGTACTTGGCACCTGGTGCCAGAATGTGATGGGAGCGCTTTGCTGGATTGCTTGAATAAAAGAGAGAACTTTGCTCACTAACTGAGAGGTCCGGAGTTTTATTCTAAGTGGCTTAACTAGTTATTAGAGAGGTGATTTATAATTTTTCTACCACAACATGAAAATAGTAAACCGATGTGGAATGTTCCTATAACTATATCAAATTCAGACGTCCAAAGAGAATAAATTGCAGTTTTGTGTTGCTTTCTCCATTAAGAATATTTTGTGTTTTGTACATATTGTTAAATATTACATGCCTCGTCTTGTCTTATGTTTACACTGCTCTGGGAGTTGCTGTCCCAATCTCGTTGTACTGTTGTGCAATGAAAATAGAGTTGAGTAGTTTTATCGTAGTTTAGTTTTTCGACTTTTATCTTTCCAGAATTGTGTATGAAAACCCATCATACCTATTGAGGTTCAATATTGTCAGTGTTCTGCGATGTGCTGTAAAATCCTTTTCTTTAATTCTTATTGGAAATCTTGCCTCAACTTCCCCTTTGGTTTCACGTGCCACATTAAATCATCATGTGTTATGTTTCAGAAGCCCTTCCCCAGAGCAACACTGGAGTTATTGTTGGAGCAGTCATCGGTGCTGTTGTTCTTCTTGTCCTCATTGTCTCAATTATCATCCTTGTAATCAAGAGGAAGGACTCCACTCATGCTTATGAGGGGTAAGACATACCCCCACCCTTTTTAACCCCCCACCCTCCCTGAAACTAAGGTCCATTGATGCCACAGATTTCTGAGGTGAAACTGTGAGAGTTATGACAGGTGCTGACGTGTCTTGATGGAGCCAATATAGGCATTTTAACCTAACTAAATTTAACAGGCCACTCATCACATGAAACAATGCAGAATTTTAATGTGTGAGGGTAAGTTCTGTTAATGGGGTGTGAAGTTCGAGTGAAATCAAATGCACTGCATAAAGGACAATTCCATTTGAGTTGGGGTAGCCTGGAAATCGTTAATTTCCCATTTACATTAAAATAGTGTGTGGGGTTATGTTTCTAGTCCTGTTTAGGAAAGAAAGCTGAAAATGTCTGTGTAAATTTAAACGTTTTCATTTGTATTAAGACGCGCACACACCCAGTCATATGGAATTGTCCATTTTCTTGTTAGTTGTAGTTTTAATGCAGACCCAGTTTGCTTTGGCATGTGCTGAAAATAAATGCTACAAATGTTCAGCTTATGGAATCCCTCCTCTTTACCCTGTTTGATGCGTCATTTCAGCATGTACCTTTTGCTGTGGTTAACTACCTTGTGAGTGCGGAATGTTCTCCGTTGAATACAAAAGTCTATCTTCCCTAAGTGGTTGTTGTATAACACAGATCTGCTAGTAGATGAGGACTCTGTCTTTGTTCTCTTCTTCTGAAGCATGACAGCCTTGATGCTTATCTGGAAATTTTTTAAAAGAAAAAAAAAACTCTTTTCTTGCAATAATACCCGTCTCGATGGGACTCCGTTTAGAAGTTACTAAAACATATGGAACTAACAGTGGGTTAATATTCTAACCCTGAAACTTTTCTTGACCCTGATCATTTTTGTACTCTAGGTAGCAGTTTACTATTCTAATAATTTTCATAGTTTTGTCAAGTCTCTGTAGCCTGGTCCAAAACCTCCTGAGAGGAGCCTTGTGTGTCTAACAGAGCGCTTTACCTGGGAACTGTGAAAGGGACCAATATGCCACCCCCATTGTTTTGCATAAAAAAAACAGATGAACTGAAATCCACATTAAAATGAACATTAATACACATCTGGAAATATAAAAATAAATTCTGCTCTGGGGGTTTGCAAAAGTGATCTTGAACAGGTATGAATATTCCCGGAACAGTCCCCTAGTCGGCCATTTGTCATCTTCGTTTGCATTTGTTCTCTCACTAATCACATTGTATGTCAGCATCTGTCTACTAAACAGCCCTTTCACTACAATCATCTCGCATCTTGCACTCATTTTCTTCTATTTGGGAAAACCTCTTTCTCTTGACTGGACATTGTGGTTTGATTTTGAAGTTTTCAAATGATTGAAACTCATTTTAGTCTAATATTCAGTAATCAAATGAATGCTCAGTAGCTTGTGAAGTTTCCATTATTTGCTGTGGACAACAGTGGCCTGTTCCATTGTGATGATATTGATCTGACCAAATTGAATATGCTGTGATCATCTTAATAGAGGTTCTAATTAAAAGTATTAAGGTGTGAATAGCAAAAAGCATTTTCAAAATTCCTGCTTTTATGATGTGGCAATCTTGTGTTTACGTTGGTTTGAAATGGATTCCTATAGCTTGAGTCATTGTACATGTTTTTGTAGTGTTGCTGCTGCAGTGAACCATTGTTTTCTAATGCTGAATTTTTATTCCAGTTTGAACCACTCCACAGCTTGTTGATTTGGTTAGCTCAGAATTATTTGGAATGATTAGCCAGTAGATTAACTAGATTTAGCCCTACTAATGAATGTTCTTTTTAATGTTTTTTGCTTATTGTAATGTTTATGGTAACTTGTACCATTTTATGAACTTTGCTGCATATATCCTTGTGTGATAGCTCATTTGCAGTTTAGTAGTTTCTTGTGTGCTTCACCACAATATCTGTTTGTCCATCTCTCAT